GGGGGAAGGCTGGCAGGGGTCCCTGTTAGGGGTCCTGGTCTCTGACACCCTTCTTTTGCACATTTCATGTTTTTTTAAAAAAGTAATAAACATTTCCAAAAATTTTCTGTTCATTGGACTAGTCCAAAGCCAATAACTCTCAGAGAGTGAGTGACTGACTATGTTTCGGAGATTCTGTGGATTCATTCATTATGCAGGCATTTATGAAGGTCTTGCTGCACTTGGCAGGAAGTAGGAATGAATGCACACTCTGCTTCTTGGCTTGGATGTAAACCTGGTTCTTGGTGGTAAGGCTCCTTATATGATATAACTATAAATTGATGAACACTTTCCCAGGAGACTGGTCTCAGCACCTGCAGTTATGTTCCATCCACCCACCAGGTCTGCTCACCTCATGCCTAAATATAGGGTGGAGTGCTCCCCACCCTTCTGCTCTCAATGACCTAGCATGAGTTTAAGCTTCTGTGATCACTTGCCTCTTGTGGCCATCGTTTCAAGTTCCCACTCTTTCCATTTCTGTTGCAACTCCTCTCACACTCACTCCCAGGCTCCTCCACACTCAGTGTCAGTGATATTTTAACAGAAGACTGGTTAGATCCCTAGATGATTGTTGTTGTTTTGTTTTAATAGCATACAAAAACCTTCTGATACTATTCTGGCCAGGTTCAGCTTCCTCATCTGCATGCTGAGATTGGGAATATTCAGTGACAGTCTGTTACGCTGCGAGTTCTGTGTAGACAAGGTCCATGTCTGCATGTATCTCTTGAACTCTGCCATGCAGAATGGTAAAAATACTTAGTTAGGGCTGAATCTGCTGTTGCAGAAGTCACTGAATTATGTCCACTCACTAAAACTTGCCAAGTATCAGCTTGTTAGCCAGCCTTTTGTTTAATCCCACAGATTCTTGCGTGATAGATTCAGCATTGTTTGTCTGAACATTTTGAGAAATGGAAATAGATGGTTCTTGCCTCTTATGTGTAACACAACTCCAAACACAACACACACACACACACACACACACACACACAGCACTTGCAGAGTATTAAAGACTGTCTGCATACTTCATATTTCATAAAATTGTCCTCCCCTCATCTGCTATGAGGAGGTGTGATTAATTTCCAAAATGACAGGTAGGAGATGAGTCAGAACAGTTGTCCAGATTCTCCCACACTGAGTTCTCCCTGCTATTTTTTGCCTTTATTTAGAGTAGAGGTCACTTAATACAGTTTGCATTGTGACATCAATTCTAGCACTTACCCAGTGACATTTAGCTAGAGTTTATGGATCCCGTGTTATTTTGAGACCTTTCTTGCCCAACTTCATCAAATGCTTTACTATAGAAATGTTGACAGTTCTTCAGATTATTTTGTGGTGTCTAAAACGTTTTATATCCTATAAAATTTGGGTAGTTGATAGTGTTCACTATGATTCTCCTTCTTCACAGCTACTTGTAATTTATGTTTTTTTTCTTCTTTTATTTCATAAGTCTAGGGGGTTGCATGTGCATGCTATAGATACATGTATAGCTAATACATGGCATGCCCTTCCTGTTCCCAGTGGCACCACCACTCCCGGCTTGGCATCTTCAGTTGTGTTTCATGGGAATTCATAGACCAAGAGTGTCCTCTGTCTTTTCATTCTCTCAAAATGAGTGGTGTACTCTTTAGCAGTGATTGTAAGGACCAAAATGACAGGTAGTAGATGAGTCAGAACAGTTGTCCAGATTCTCCCACACTGGTTATGGCTCAGAGGTTATGAGCACTGGCTACTCTTCCAGAGTAGCAGTGTTGGATTCCCAGTGTGTGAGCTCACAACTGTCTGTAACTCAAGTTCTAGGGGATCCAGTGCCCCTTCTGGTCTGAGCACTGTATGCACGTGGCACACAAACATTTATATAGGTAAAACACTTATTCACATCTTATGCACATAAAAATAAAAAGAAGTGAATCTTGGAAAAAAAAGAAGTGGAGATTAGGGAGTCAGTCAAGCAACTTGCTTTAGATAGTTCTGGTCTTGATCTAAGCACATTTTTTTTTTTTTGCACAAGATTTTATAAAAAGATCTTAAAAGGAAAGAATGAAATTATATGGAGCTATCTCAATGTACCACCCAGCTGGTGATAGTACCAACATCTGCCTATTTTGATAACCTTTCTTCAACAGTATGCTTACTTTGTACCTTTTAAGTTCCAAAGAAATTCACCTGACATTGGGAAGATGAGAAGATATTAAATTGTTTTAGCTCATTTTAATTGCATTTATGTAATTCTGTTCTCATAACTACTTGAAGTAATTCTTCTTGTTATTATTTTAAAACACATATAAAACTAGGAAAATCCATTTTTTAGTCCCCATAAAAAGAAACAAAAACAAGCAATCTGGTAATCTTAGGTGCAAGTAATTAAAAACAAACAAAACCAAGTGATCTGGGAGTCTGCATGCACAGTCAGTGGTCCTGAGAGAGTGTATTCTGTTCTGGAGATTAAATGCCCTTGAACCTTTAGCAGCAGCCATTGGGCTGAGGCCAGATCATTTCCCCTCTGTAGTCTGATGTACTTCCTCTGCCATTTTCCTGGTCCATGACAAGAGAGGGTGTGAGGAGGAATGTGACTTTGACGGCCACCTGTAGTGATGAGGTTTTAAGTCTATGTAGTACACCACTTCTCTACAGCATCAGATATTAAACACTGATGTTGTTGCTTTAAGCTATAAGGTCTTTGATTCCATGATGTGGCCATCTTTCTATCCCTAGCACTCACAATAGAACCTGGCTTCTGATAGGTTCTCAGTGGCTAAAGCAGAGTCCCTACAAGGTGGGGTGTCCTTGGTTAAGAACCCTATATGGACTGCTTAAATTTAAAATGGACTAATATAATCCAAACAAAAACATTTTTGGCATATGTTTAATATAAGCAAACTACTATTACTGGCTGTTGTAGGGCATGCCTTTAGTTCCAGCACTTGGAAAGCAGAGGCAGGTAGATCTCTGTTCAAGGCCAGCCTCCTTAACATAGCATGTTCTAGGACAGTCAGGATTTCATTGAAAGACCCAGTTTCTTTTTTTTTTAAATTAATTTATTTTTTTCAAATTGTAATTTTTACTTATTCACACAGGGGTTGTAAACACAAAAAGGCAGGATGTGGGGAAGGGGATGACACTGAGGCTTGGGTGTTCAGGGGGAATACAGATATTTTTCAGAACAGGGTATTGGCTGGGTGAAGGTTCAGGGGACAGTTGCTATGACTCTGCCTATGATTCACTTGTCCTTATCTAAGTTGGTATTATCTGCCAAGGCTACCTATTTACAAGGTCTATGACTACTCAGGCTGGTAAATTTCCACAAAAGCTTCCTGTTGACATTAGCTTATAGCCATCTGTTTCAATGTTTTTCCACAGAGACCCAAGACTTGGTGTTAGTATACATGTATGACAGGCCTATTGCTGATTTTAGGCCTATGGTTGATTTTAGGCCTTCAGTGTATAAGCAGGGCTGCCCCTGACATCTCCTCCCTTCTCTAAGTATAGAAGGGATGTGGTGATTCTAATCTTGCAAAGGCTGGGATAGAGGCCTGACCTCCAGTAATTGAAGGGGATCTTGTAATGGCTCCAGTCCCCTTGTTGTCCAGTGAGGCATGAGGGCCATACCTATCCCGATGTCTTTTTCCTGGAGAGGGGATACTTTTGACATCAACCCCTATGCAGTCAGGCTTGTCCCTCAGGGAACTCAGAGAGATATTTTTAACTTTTATTTATATTCCCTTGCAGTGCTTAGCCTCGAAGCCTAAGTAAGAATTCAGATCGCCAGTCAGAGGGGGTTCTGGGTGGCCCCTCTCTGCTTGGTCTAGGGGCAGAAGGAAAGACCCAGTTTCAATAAGCAAAATAAGAAAAGAAAAACACTTATTTTGGAAACAAACTGGAGGAGAAAATTAAATTGACCTAATTTTATTTGAAGTACATTTGCACAGAATAAAGTAAATAGTACCATTTGTAATGAAAAGAGAAGTAAGCAAAAAGAATCCAAGGCAGGGTGAGATCATAGCCAGAAAGCCAAGTTATTTCTCAAAACGATTATTTCTGGTATGACCTTCTCTTCAAGCTAACTGATGAGACAATCACTTGCTTCCTCTAGAACAGCAACACACGGCTTTCTAGGGCTTATTTATAACCTCCTGTGAAGAGCAGGCAGTGAAGAAGAAAGCTTAATTATACATTTTCCACCCAGTGCTTCCATGTGGCCAGGAAGAAATATTATTCCGCTTGTATCGTAGTATCTTTTACATCTGAGCAAACATACCTGGCTTAAGCCCCAT